AGACTACCAAAAGGAAGAAAGTGGTGTCTCCCTCCATTGAAGCACCACAGAATCTTGCTCCAATGAATCTTGAAGAAGAAGAAGAATCCTCTGACCAAGGAGAACTTCAAAGGAAGAAGAAGAGGAAGATCAACTCCCCATCAACATCTGGAAATGTCAATCCGGATGAGTTGAAGGAGAAGGAACCTGGTGAGGAAACATCTGCTCAAAACCGGAGCCCTCAATAATTTGAAGAAGAAATTCCTCAAGTCCAAAGCCTTCCAACCTCATCTCAGCCTCAAACAGATGATGCAGATAACCAATTCTGGCAGCTATACTATGATTGGAAAGCCTGGAAAGTTGGGAATTCAGCAGAGCAACTGTTGAATTGGGACCAACAGCTGAAGAATGAGAAAATCATCAAGAAGTGCTTAGGAATACGAGTCAACCACAACTGTGAACAGATTTTGGATGACTACTGGGTATGGCAAAGGAACCCTGAAGACATGCATCTGGAATATCTGGCCAATACACCAGTTTCAGACTGTGAAGCAGATGATGAAGACACTGCAGTCTTCAAGCCAGTCTTCTCAAAAGCTACAGAAGATCAAGTGGCTCTCACTTCTGAAGCAACAGCTGAGGATTTCTAAACACTTCCGGAAACCTCACCTGCCCTCGAAACGGAAACCTCACCCGCATTTCAGGAAACTTCACATTCTTTTGAAATGGTTCTGACTGAAGTTGTTCAAGAGAAGGCAACCCCTCCCCCACAAGAACAGAACCAGGAAACAGCTAAAGAAGAAGAAGATTTTCAGCCACTAATCCAATCTCAAGTTTTGGAGACTCTCACCACTCCTTGTGAGATCTCCAATCCTACTGAAATTGAGATCCCAGAAAAGTCAGCTGAAATTCCGGAACAGTCAGCTCTTCCAGAAACAATGGAGCAAGCTGTTGAAGCATAGAGGGATTCTGGAGAAGCTGCAAAGGAAGCTCAAATGGCAGAACTAGAGATCTCTGAAACTCAAGTAGCCATCTCTGAAGAAGAGAATACAGCTGAAGAAAGGGACTCCCTCTCTAGGGATATATCAGATTTTGCGCTTGAAACAGAAGGAGAATCTGAAAGAACACTGAAGGTTACTGATGAAGAAGATGTCCAAGAAGATGCTGAATCTCTTCCTATGCAACTCTTCCAAAGAACACCATCATCTCATCAGGTAACCAACTTTCATTTCCATAGCTCTTCCACCCCTGGTCTTCCAGATGAGATACCGGAAATCTGGACAAAGAAGGTCCAAGGGCTGATTGAATCAGCCCTAGCATCTCAACATGCCTTCTTTAGGCAAGAGATAGAACAAATGGAAGTCAGGCACACCCAGCTAATAGAGAAGTCTGAAGGAAAACACAGCGCAGATCTCAAAGAAATAAGCAAATCAGTGCAGAAGACTCTGGAGATTATATCTCTATTGAGTAAAACTGTGAGCAACACGATGGAAATATATGCCTCTGACAGTCAACTTCATCTCAAAGAGATCAACAAAGTCAAAGAGCAAATAGCGAGTGTCACAGTTAGTCTCCAAAAAGAGATGTCCCTTCTCCAAATGGACATCAGATCAGCCCTAGCAGTAGCTTCTGCAAATCAGGTAGTGACCAAAGACTACTTGAAGGTGATCATTGACAATCAAAAGGAAGCATTCAAGCTGTTCAGACTTATTGGTGCAAACTCTGGAAACCGCAAGATGGAAGTAATTCTCCAACAACACAGTCCATCTCCAATACCACAACTTCCTATTGCAATCAAAGAAGGAGACGTATCTTATATTCCTTCTCATCTGAACTTGACAAATCTAATCCTTGAAGCACAGCAAAGAAATCCGGAAAACTCAGCACAACTTCTATCCAGCTCAGGACTGGATGGAACAGAAGTTATAGGTACAATTGTTGACCACTTCTCAAATGATGCTCAATCAGAAGAAAGACGTGAAAATTTAAGACGCATCAAAGAACTATGTGGAAACATGAAGGGCATCAGTGAAGTTGCCGGATCTTCAAAGCGCAAGAGAAACTGAAGGTTCTTTACATCAAAACAGGGGGAAAGTATGTGAAAACACTAATTTGTTTTGATGAAAACACCTTCTTGTTTAAACATTGCTTGATTGGTTTAAACATTGCTTAATTATGTCTTAATTGCGCGTATTATGCTTAATTATGCTTATCTCAAGTATAATTTTGTCTTAATTACTTTTTCTGAAGCGCATACATTCAGGGGGAATGTAATTCACGGGGAACTTAACTAGTTTTGGCTAACAATTGTTTTTGGCAATGAATTATTGATAAGCTCAAAGCAATGGAAGACGGATATCTCAGTTTTGGTACTAAAATTGGAAATCTCCGATTCAGGTACTTTACAAAACCTGCCTTCTTAAACTAAGCTTTAGTCCTTAATTCATTTCCAACCAGCTCTAAAAGTACTGGTCCCTAGGATGTTTAAAAATGTACAGGACTTTGGAAAAATAGTACCACTTTTCTTTTAAATATTCACATTTGTTTTGGTGCTACCTCGTCCTAAGTAGAAATTAGAACTATAGGGAATGAAAAATGATAGTCTTATTTTGGGCCTTGAGAACCCAATAGGAATAATTTCCCTTTAGTACATAGCTTTCTTTTCTTTTTGGGCCACTCTTTTGGGCTTAGCCAAACTAAAA